ACCCACCCAAAAACCCCACAACCCTGACTCTTGCCACACAAGAAAACCATGACTGGGAGATGGATTTATGAACAGGCAGCAGCCCCAAGGGCGCCTGTAGCATTTCAGTTTTTAGTATAGCTTCAGAGAAAAGATTCAAGATTAATGTAAAGAGTACTGGACCAGTGGGATCGGGTCCCAGCTGGCTGCAGGTGCCCTTGCTAGAGCAGGGCTTGGACTAGATGACCTCCAGAGGTCCATTCCAACCTCCACCATTCCGTGATTACCATACCTCACAAGTAGCTGGAAATTGGTATTCAAATGTGTTCATCTTTGTTCCCAGCTCAAATCCAGGCAAGCTAATTGCACTATAACTTCACTCCCATTCCAACACGTGCTAGTAGCCTGTTGTGAATGAGATGGAAGTTTACCCTAGAGGAGAAATGAATACAAAGTCCCATGGCCCAACAGATGGTTAGAAACAAGACTAAGGAATGACTGAGCCTGGAATCCAGGTTAATATTTTTTTTTTTTAAAACAGAGAAAGCTAGGCCAAATGAAAGTGGAAATTACATTGCTGCAGTCCACAGGAAACTGATTTCAGTAATAATTTGAGGAATATAATTTTATCCAAAGGGTCAGTTATAAAGTATAACATTATGAAACCAGTTATCAGCATACATGTAATTTAAAACAATGTATACATGAAAAATCCTTCTGTATTTGTCCAAACTTCAGAGCAATAAACTCTACATCACAATTCATTCAGAAGATTAAATAATGCAACTGTGTGTAGCATGAAAGCTAGAAAGCAAAAGTTCCAAAGTACTTTTAATAGGCAGACTGATTTGTTTCAGTACTACAGCTTACGAACCACCCTTGATCCACCTCACTCCTTTTATGCCCCAGCAAGCACAAACAAGGGAGCAGATGAATAAACAATTCTTGATCATACTTTTACAGTGTTTCTTTGGGTCAAAAGAAAAATCTACTGCTGAGGAAGGTTGGAGGGGGAAGTTCCTGTGAGGGGAAAAAGGAAGAGACATTATCTACTTTGTTTTTTTTTACTACCTGTCAGAATCTTTGGATCTCTAATCTCAAACACTGCAGGATTATAAAATAAATTATTTAGAGATTCTGATCATTCATTCCATTGTACATCCCTAATACCTGCTACAAGAAAGCAGAATATAAACACTCAGATCTCAGAGTCATTCTTGATAAAAAAATGAAAGAGCTGTAGGGAGCAGTAGGAAGACACACACAACAGACATAAGCAAAATAGCTCCTCTGAACAATCAAAGTATATCTGAATTGTCTTTGTAACATTTATGCAAACAAACAAGAACTGTACAGCCACTGTACAGCAACTGTGTTGTGAGAATGAATACTATTTTACAGACAAATATTGTCAGATGCCTAACCCCAATAGCTCATAGCTCAATGTATTTACATAAAGGAGTGATAAGAGTTGCAAATAAATATTTCAGTATTTCTAAAAAGCATCTATGTACTGAAAGCAAAAGTATCAAAGTGTCGTCTTTTACTTATAAAAATAATCCATCCATATTTAGAGTCCTGGAACTCACTTTCTGCATTTTTTTTAAGGGTTGAAAGCTGTGTTCATTGGCAAAATTACATTTTCAAAGGATTCGATTCCCAATCACCACTTCTATATCTGACAGCCCTTATGAGACTTCACATGGAATAACGGGCATCCTGTGCCTCATGTTAAGCAGATTGCTAGAGACTTTGGAGGAAAAAAAAAAAAGAAAGAAAAAAGAAACAGGGAGTCGAGTCCAAAGCAAATAAGGAACTGAGATGGAGTATCTAAAAAGAACAGGTTTGTAAGATTGGAAGGTAAGAGATTTAAGGGATTTAAACATTTCTAAGGATGATGGTGTAACGGGAAGAAACAAGCAGCAGTTTATTCATTATATAGGTAGCTATGTAACCTGCAGTGAAAATTCAAAGGTTAAAGTCAAGCTTATAGGAATATTTTTGATGGCCTATTAAACCTGCTGTTCACAAGAAACCAGAATCAACTGCCGATGAAGCAGTGAGGACAACTACTTTTGAACAACTTAGAGCTGCATTATGTTTTCACTTGGGGCTTGACCTACTCAGGATCAACTCCCACTGAAATCATTCAAGGTAGGTTTTTAAGCACCAAAAGGCAGATATTCGCTAACACAGGTGGGCCTATCTACCTCTATATCCTAGCATTTCTTTTCAGGTTTTCCACTGATTTGTGAGAAGTAAAAACAGGAGGCTAAACAGCCCTCAAGCACTCTTATAAATGATATATAGCATATGAAAGAAAGTAACTACATGGGTATAAAATACAAAACCAACTTCAACAATATATATTCTTGTCCCAAAGTGGGAAAATAAAATGCAACAGTAAGATTTAATCCTATTTGCTTTGTAACAAAAATTCAGTAAGAGTTCATAGATAAGGATGTTCTTTCAAGATTTCCACAACCTTCAGAGACCTAAATGCACCGAAGTCAGGAAACTGTAGACCGATGAGAGTCAGCAACTTTACCACTCGTACAAGTCCAACGACCACAAGGTCACTGGAAAAGCAATGCAATGAGCTCTTGCCGTCAGCCATAATCAGAAAGGTGGGCTGCATCTGTGCCCACAGATCAGCATACATCTTTTGATGCTACAACGAAGATGATTTCATTGTCTAACCCACTGAGATCCCCAGCATAAAGCCGTGTTATTTGGATGCACACTGAACATCCATCTTTCACCCAGATACATTCTTTGAAAGACCGTGACTTTGCCATCTTGAAAAATTATAGGAAATTACAATGAATTCTGAAGTATTTTCAAAAAACGGTCAAAAGTATTATTTGGCATCTTATTCCAATTCTAATCTATGTTTTTTTCTCTCCCTAGATACTTATCGTATATAGGTCCTATGGCTAACTTATTATAATTTCTTGTCCTGTTGGTATCCGCAGTCTTGCTGACTAATTTCTGTTACAGTCTCATTATTTCAGTTCTATAAATATCCCATTTCATTTTACTCCTTTCTATAGTTACTTTGCAACCTTCTCCTCCTCCTCCACCTGGGGCTTTCACTTTCAATTTAACAGGAGACAGTGGGCAAAGATTGAGCTGAAATCCAGTAATTACACCTCCCTGCTCCGAAAAAAGGAATAATTTCTTTTTCTTATGGATGGAAGCAGCTGTGAGCTACTCTGAAATCCCACAAGCAATCCCACAAAAAAACAATACCTATTACTCGTCAGATTAATAATAGAAAGTGCTGGCTTCCATAATTTGAAAAACTTATATAGCTGGATTACGATACGTTGCAATATTTGCATTTAGGAAGAATAAAGAGGTGAAGCATAACACAGATGCCAGCATGCTGGGCACATCTGGTTCTACTTGCAAGAATATTAAACCACCAACCAATTCATCACTGACAAAACAGGTTATATCCACAATCGTTGGCATTCACAATCCATGACTGCCCGCGGAAGGCACTCCCAGTTCATTATGTCCTTGAGTTATGTTTACTACTTTCAGGCCTTACATTCTCTGACCTTTCAGCCTTTGCCATAAGTTCCTGGGATCCTCTAAAGGTTTGGGAAAGCTTCCGAGTGCTTCTCCTATAAGTGTAAGTACATCCTGAAATAAAAAGAAAACACAGAAATTAGTTGGTTTCATATTCCTGTCATTTCTCATGTCCTGTATCACAGGTCTACCATTGGCAGCTACATCCAGTCCCTCAAAAACAACTAGGCAGGCAGCACCCATCAGCACAATTTTGCCCGATTTTTAAAGCATCCTGTTTAAAAAACTGTTGAATAATTTGGTCAGTGATCGGCCCCATACAGTAGGTTTCCTCCCTAAGGAGGAAAAGGAAAAAGCAGCTGGCCTTTTCGGAGAAGATGGGAGAAAAACAAGAAAAAAAGTGAAGCCTTACTTCAGGCTGAAGATCTCAAATCGTAGGTATGGAGTGAACGACAGTCAAAAAAATCAGTAGACTGGCATTCTTAGGCAAAAAAAGAATGTGTGGTACAACACACAAATTCCGCCCTGCTCACAAACACAGAAAGACAGATGTTGAGACTTCAGTAAGCACTACTTATTCACTGCTCAGAAACAACCTGCTTTCAATCTGACTCCCTTTCAAGAAAGGAGAGAAGAATTCTTCCTTCAGGATGATCATCCTGAGGAACAGCCACAGAAGATGCAAGGAATTCCATAAATTTCAGCTTACATTGCCTACCATCTGTTCCAAAGGTATTTCCTAACAATAAAGCTTGAATCTTCGTGGCAGCAGACACAGACAGAAGACAGTTCTTCCAATAAGAAATCTCAGTGTATCTGAGAGGCCTTAGCCTCCAAAACATGTTGCAGTGTCCTATTCTGAGACTCCTATGCCAAAGGATAACTAAGAAAGACTAGTATGGGCATAGTTACCTACTATCACATCATTTTGTTATTTACCATTTTGTCTTGGACAGCCCACCAGAAAACAAACTGTGGAGAAATAATCAATATGTACCCAAACCAATTCTAGGACATCCTGGGAAAGACCTTCAGCTTATATAGACCAGGCAAGTTCAAATGACTTTGTCAGTATGGCAGTCCCAAGCATTTTATTAATGACATGGAGCCAAATTCTATTTTGACTTGCACTGCATTCAGGTCAGTCTGATCTCATTGCCATAAATCAGAGCAAAATCTGGCTTACAGATTCTTTAGTTACAGTATGTATAAAACGTACCACAACTTTTTTTAAACAACATTTGCTTACTCTGCAGCAAATCTGTTCTTCCAATTTCTCTTGGATTAAAGCACTTTCCATTAGAATCTTCTTTCGTCTGATAAAGGTAATCTTGGCTAGCTCTGCTTCCTTCTTCTGACAGTCAGGGCACACTGAAGATTCGTGGATTTGAGCTTCTGTCACCTGAAAGATGAGACTTTGATGCAATGAGCAATGTCTGATCTAGCAAGATGGCCAACCTATTAAGAACAATCAATAAAAATACAGATACTGTCTAAAGATAAAAATTTGCTTTTGTAGGCAGTTGTAAATTATTTCATAATCTTTGTCACAGTATCATCTTGATGAGCCTGTCTGAATATTTTCACACTAAGTATATTTGCTTTTCCCCAGGTATTGCCCCTTCCAGCACTGATAAGTTAGTTTCATTAAAATTATCTACTTGTATCTCAGAACCATAGCACTGATCTGTAACACACTATCTCTTCTTGTAATAGGCAAAGTTTCCCTGATGCTTGGGGTTGCATGGACATTACCAGCTTCTTCTACAGAAACTATAATGGTCCAAAAAAAAAAAAAACCACACCAAAACAAAATGAAGTCATGTGATTGCCAAGCAACACATCAGTGACCAGCCAATACCAACTGTGAGGATACAGTCATACTGCCAAAAAATTTGTTGTAATTAGTATAACTCATTTGACCCTGGGTGGATGCTCCGTACAAATTACAAATTTCCCAATGTAAATCTATATGTATTTTGCTAGTGTTAAATATGTTTAAGCACCACCAGCCGTTAGTTACTCTTGCCTAATGAGTACCTGATGTTCCAGGAAGCCAGCCTGTGCATGCTAACCAGTCTTCCACAACAGTAAATACACTAACTCCTGAAGGCTCAATTAAGTTAAATTAACATGTTTTACTCCACGTTTCAAATAGCTGATCATCACAACTCAGTAATAGTGATCGCTATCAGCAATAATTCCACCATAAATAACTGCTTGTCTGTAATGAGGCTATAGGAACAGCAGTGTTCCTACGCTGACAATATACATAAGGCCTTAAATATCAACCACAGAGGTTATCATTATATTTACAAATTTTAAGAGGTTATTATTATCTTTACAAGTTCTAAGAGGTAAATAAACTCTGAAGCAATTAATTCAAATATTTATATGCAACTCTAAGTCAGAATACAAACAAAATTCTATAGTTCTCTTTGTAAGATAAACAGTACTACTTATTAATTCCTATGTTAGTTTATCCACCATGAAATCTTAAGCATATTTAATAGCATCACACAAATCTCAGTATTACTGCATTTATGAAATGTCAGTAATTTTATCTGATTTAATTTACACAGATTCCATCTGGTTACATAAACGCAGTAAGTTGCTACAAAAGCAGTGGAAACAATCCTAGAAAGTCGTATCTCAAGCCTCTCTAGCTTCTTCCTTGATTTCTTCTCTACATAAAAGTGTTATCATGTGGAGGTAAAGACAGAAGCAAACAGACACAGCAGTCAAAGTTACTTCTCTTAGAAAATGTACTACCACACTGTAAGACAAATAAAGAGGCAGTGAAAATTGTACAGAATTTGGATGGTGGGTTGGTTAACATCAATACATCAAAAGAATGCAGACTGCTGAAATTTCAAAACAACTTAAACAAACAGGAAGGTTGAAATAATCACCACGCTAGAACTGACTTGAAAAGTATTACTCCCCCCCCACCTGGCGCAGGCTTTGCAGAGGAATATGTTATCACTTTTCGTAAGCTATACGGCAGTAAGTTACAGCCAGCAAATGTGATAAGAGATAAAACAAAATAGATGACTGTAGTTACTACTCAAAGCTCATTTTTTGTTTTATCAGAAATACTTTCCCAGATGCAGACATTCTGTACCAATTTCAAATGAAGTATGGATGTTTGCCAAGGCCCAGATTTACAGGTAAGGGCATCTGTAAGTAATGGTCACTACTCAGATCCACATAACCATGTACTCAAATCCATCTCCAAGCACAAAGCAAAAATGCAAGTATCATTGGTCAAAAGAAAAAAAATAATATAATACCAGTCTTGAGACTTTTAGATGCAGAGTTGAAGGGAGGAGCTGCATCAGAATGCCCAACCTATGGTGGGAAAAAAAAACCACTGGGCTGGTGAAAAAGTACTTGTGTGAAGTACTGTATAAAATTGTGTAAAGATGATATGGATGCTTCTTAATAAAGGAACTGATTTCACCAAGATTCTTTGGACATGCTTTAATTCTTAATATTACCTAACATCTAAGAAAGCTGGGAGCAGAGGGAAGGTTTTGCCTTTGGAATACTTTTAATACTGGAGTCGCAAAAACTCCACAATCAAATAATATGCAGAATACTTCTATAAATAAAAGGTGCAAACGTAACCAGAAAACAAGGCTTCTTTCTTCAGTTTATCCAGGCCTTATTGTGGACTGCAGTAACTGACCATCCCAGCCTCGCTGAATCACACAAATCCTTATTTTATCACCAGACAGTATTTTATGATTTGATTATTTACCAGCAACAGTTCTGCAGTAGTGTCTAACAAACAAATGAAAAATGTAAATCTTGAGATACCAAGCAAAAACATCTTTCAGAGGACCGAGCATGGCATCAGTAAGATCTGCCTGATTTGATCCTTATATTACCACTTTTTTACCCAGTGGTTCTCCCAAAAGTGTAGGCAAAATCCACACTTTTTTCTCTTCCTGGCAGTACCTGTTTAACAGTTTCTCTGATATTTTTGAGGCAGATTCTGTTCATTAGCTGACCAGGAACAATGCAGTTCAAATCGCTTGTCTCCGGTTTCTTTGCTGTGAATCCGTGCTGCAGCTTTCTTGACTTGCCACCGTTTGCCTGCTTAGAGATCAGCTGCTGATGCATCTTACTTATCTTAATGGTGCAAAAAGACCGGAGAGCATCTAGTTCTCCATCTAGTAATTCAGTAATTTCTGTCAGGTATAAAACAGAATAAAAGTGTCAATTACTGTATCAGAGAAAGAGAAGAATTACTGGTCTTCTATCTGTATGACCTCATATTATCTAATAAAAAAAACAAACCCCATGTCAAGCCTAGAGGCAATGACTGTAATAACAGCAGTGCAGAATTTAAATAAAAATCTGGATGATAACTGAAGGAACTTGCGTAATAAATGCCTCTATGAATAGTCTCCAAAGAGGGGAGGGGATAAGGACCCTAAAGAATTAGGCTACTTAGTGATACGGCACAAATATATGAGTAAAGCAAGTACTTAAATACTATGATATTAAATAAACTGAGTTTTAATGACTGCCTAATAAGATTTATCTTCTTCCTACCTGAAACTGCAACTTGCTGAAATGAAATGAATTAACATTTAAAGAGAGAGAGTCATCTAGTAACTTAAGCAGCAATTCAGAAGAGATTTAAAAATTAGAGGCAGCGTCTATTGAAGTAACTCCAGAAAACACCTCAAATATATTCTAAAACTTATAGTTAGGCGCTTTTTTTTTTTGAGGAAATGCAGTATATGAGAAAATACTTTCCTCTAAAGCTCCAATGATCATTTCCTAAATCCTTTATATGACCTTGTTTAAACAGTATCTTTCACCTTTTTCATCTTCTCTTATCCTTCCCAGTGACATGTAGTAATAAATAAAAACTGAACTGAGAGATTACACTTCAGATGGGCAGGTAAGGATGGATTTACAACCTCTTTCAATGCTTAGTGGGAGATTTTCCACAGGCTTAAACACAGCCAATCAATACAGTACTTCACGAGCATCGGCATATAATGATGCCATGTAGTACTACATGGCCTTAAGAGATACCACTGTTTTCAACTATTACAACAGGGGAGAGTTCCTCTACCTTTATTACACAGATGTCGCTTTTATGCAACTACTGAAGCCCAACTAAACACTTTAATGTGTGTAACTGAAGGAGAAATGCGAAGACAAAACATTACAGTAAGCATTTATAGAAGTCTCATGAGTACTTTTGCATACAGCTAATGCTAACGCAGCATTCCCTTCTCAGGACTCCACCCTGACAGCCAAAAAAAGTCCAACTGATAATCACTACAGAGGTAAGGTATGATCAGTTTGTTTTAACCCAAAGTACTCAAACAAATTATACTGCTCATTTAGCTGGAAAGTATGATTACGTAATTTAAACAATCCCTCCATATTGTCCATTTCACTCATTTTCAGTGATTAAATTAAGTTTTCTAGACAGGCACTGCATATTTCAGGGTGCTTGTCTGACAATCAGTGCATTGGCATTCCAGTCCTGTGGGGTACCTTGGCATAACCACAACACAAATCCTTAAAACACTCAACCTTATGAATGTAAAACTTTGCCTAAATAGGCTGCGATGAATTTAGTCTCAAGTATACAAGATAGAGCTGTAGAAGTGTGGAAATTGTGCAAGGAAACTGAGTCTCCCTTCAGAAAGGCGGTCGATCTGTACAAAGGATAAGTGGATCTATAGTTAAGATAAAGCAAAGCAGGAATCGGTGAGCTTTACTTTATGGAAAACAAGCAAAAGACGTGACTTCAGTTCAACTACCACAGTTCAAAAATCAAGCACTGTAACACAATTCATTCCTCCTTAGAAGATGATGTATCAAATTGAGTAAAGACAAAGATATAGCGATAGTATATAGACAGATGAGTAAGAATTAACAATACTTTAAAATGCAGTTTAACAAAAATTTTTTCTTGGGATCACAAATACTTGAGTGGAAACCTCCATTTCAGTCTGGTCATTTTCCTTACAATTGTAATGTAGAATCCCTGTAAAACAGTGTAAATCAGGTGCCACTACAGGGTTTAATCGCACTAATAAAACAGTGGCATATCCCTTTACACTGCACATAGAATGAATAAAAAAATTATTAGTAAAAATGAATAAAAGATTAAAAAGCTACTATTGTGGGAGGAAAAAAAACCTAGAACAAAGTATTTACATATACTAAGTTTAGTACTCAAATCCGTAAGTAGAACACATGGGGTCTGCTGAGAATTTTGTAACAATTTAATACCAGTTTAATTAGTTCACTTCAGTTTCTCCTGACATATAGTTCATTTTAATTAAGAACTGGTTTCTAATAGTGCATGAATTGTGCGCTGCCATACACCCACTCATGTTTGCACTTACAAGCATTAGAAGAAACACGAGCAAAGAGAACAGGAATTTTTAAACCTGACCGCTCAACCAATTTCAAAAAATTACTTGTTTAATGTTAATTCATGTTTAACAGTATATAAGCTCAGAAAGAATAAAAATTATCAAGGATCAAGGACTATAATTTTCTGAAACGGGAATAAAAAGTCATGAGAAAAGTCAGCATACAGTTAAATTCTGAAAAGTTAGTCTTTTAACTGCACAATGACTATTCACACTTTCAGATTTTCTTCTAGGTATACGAGGTTCACCTGTCCTTCAGCTGAAGGAAGAGATATGTGTACAAGAGGACCTATGCACTTGCTTTGGTGGTTGGTTTTATTTCTTGTGTCCTTCCCATATTCCCTCCCTTCCATCTTTGAACCAGACACGCTCGAACGCTCAATCTCCATTTGTGATGGCAGACTTAAATGTCACTGCCCGTCTGTCTACAGAGGATCCCTGCCAGTGCCAATTACTGTTCCAGAAGTACATTTTGCTGATGCTTGGTTGCCCCGAATCCTGCATTCCCACATCCTCTTCGTTGGAGAGGAATAAAGCAGGAAGAGGTGACAAGAAGAGCAAAACCAGACACTGGAACAGACATCAAGTCAGAGCCATGTATCAGACAGCAGTAAGGTCACAAAGCACAGAATATTTAGAAAGTAAAGCACAACAAACTGGACCAAGAAGCTGCTCTGATTACAGAAGCACTCAGTGTGTACCAACGGAGATAAGCTAATCTCCATGCCTACATTCTAAACCCTGCTGTGTGGTTTATAACTAAGCGACCTACATAGATTTGGCTTTCTGTATGCAACTACATTTTTAAGTATGACATTTTAAATCTACATGAGTGGAGGCAGAAAAATAAAGAAAATCTTTATTGAGTTTCCTTTTCCTTTGATGTCTAACTTTGATTTAATATGAAAATAAGCAGGCATTTTGTTGTTACTACGCTCTACTAATAGCCTGTTTTAAGAAGAAAAAAATGTAAAAGGGTTAAAGGAGAGATAATTGTGAAAGGCAGTAACTGATAACTACTCTTCAGAAAGATTAACTCTGCATCTCAAGATAACATTTTCATAATTATCTGAATTGCATTTGTACAATTGAGTACAGCAGTTCAGATTAACATGCTGACAGCCCAATCAGCAAACACAACGTTTGAAAGATTTGTGCAGGTAACACTGAACTGATATAAACAGTCTGAAATATCAGGCTATCTATTACACATATGAATTTAAAGCCAGTAAAGTTCCTCCAGCATGGTGAAGGATACCCTCAGTTTCCACCAACGCTGGTGAGAAGAGGCAACAGTAAGAACCTTGCAGAACCCATGTCTTTTGGAAGAAACCCATTCTTCCCCAGTTCCATAAAGGCATTAATGAACTCAATGAACTTTCTTTACAAGGAGGCGTTTCCATTTAGGTGTTGCTGGTTGGAATTTCCCCATCTAGCCTATTAACACTATTTTACTACAGAATCAGGAGAGAAGTCTGGAATCTCAGGGCCTAACTAGGTCCGCAGGAAACCCACAACCCATGCATGTTATCAAGCAGTAAGCTTTGGTGCTGAAAAGCTCAGGAACAGAAAACAGGGCCAGTATAGCCTATTGGATACCTGCTTCCTTCTTTAAACAGAGCAGTAGGATGCTTTCTCAATTCTCATAAATAGACTACTACTACCTTTAGTAAACACTTTTAATAAACTACTACTACTATTTGCTAAGTCAATAATTAAATGCTTGGACACATGAAAATTTGTTTACAAAGTGAATATAAACTAGATCTACTCAGAAATACTCCGGACAAGCTGGAAAAAATCTGATGCAGAAAAATAAATGCTTACACTTCCCTCAGTGCACACATGTCTACGCGCACATGCCAGCACCTTTTACCTTAACATGAACCGTAGGTATTTATTTGCCTGTATCCACAGTGGCCTTTTTTACTTTTAGGTGTCCCATTGTTGACACCACTATCATCATAACAATAATGGTTAAATTGGTAATATTGACTGAACTGTCTCTCTGACACAAAACTGTCTGAGGCTGCTCAAACATTTCTCTGCCTCTAAATAACACAGAATAACAACTAAAGCGCTCTCACTTTTGCCAGCAATAGTGCAGTGGCAACACTGCAGAAAAATAAATAAGCGAAATGTTTAATGTAGACACATTACAAACAAAGGCGAGAGCAAACTTCTGAATACGGTACAAGTCAGAGTGTTAGAAAGCCCCACTTGAACTTGCAGATACATCTAAGCTGAAGAACTGCTGTTTCCTGTAGTAAATTTTAAAGATGATTTACGGTCTTTGGAATAATCTATATGGAATCGAGGGCTTACAATCATTTTGTGATGCATTTGTCTAATAATGGCTAGTTGCTACAACACTAGGGTAAAGGGCCAGAGAAGAGGAAGTCACAAAGACAACTATGACAAAAATCTCTCACTCCTCTTGAGGCCAGCATCTAGGTTTTTTGTCTTTCAGGGCACAAAGAAAACTATGAAAAAGAAGCACATTCCAGGGCATTCCCATATGCAAACCAGGATTCTTCACACACACACACATTTAATCCTATCAGTAGCAAGATAATAAAAAGAATTTTTGTTTTATAACCTGAAGACAAATTCAAAAGTACCATGCATGCTCAGTGCATACACAATTCATTTTGCTGAATTTACTGAGGGGACTAACTGTATAGCAATCTAGTTCTAGTTCATTTCCAACTGTATTTTAAAAAAAAATAATCTCCAGGTTGATAGAATAAGAGGCTTGGGGGCTACTGAGTACTGAATTAAATCAAACAGAAGCAGACATTTATAGATGGCACTATACAAAAGTTGCTGCGCTTATTTTGTTTCTATATTAATATTCTACAATAAAAAAGGTAGTACACGGCTGAGTATGATTGATGCTGATGAATTTGGGGATAACTTATCCATCGCACAACAGTGTACTGTGTTTGCATGAAAGAAGCATAAGCATGAACCTTATTTTGTGCTCATCATATTGATAGCGGTTGGAAGCATTGTAACCATGTACCTGAACAGTGCTTAGCTGTGGAGATGACAAGGGCTAGGACAGGCAGACAGAAGACAATGCATCACTTCATCCATCACTGCAAGCTAATGAAAGGGAACTTCCCACTCAAGACTGAGTGACCACTCTGACTCTCCTTGCCCAAAGTCCATAAACCAAAGGCAGAATGTTCCCTTGTACAGAACTACAAAAAATCTGAAATTGATTAAGAGGATAAAATCTTCCTAAGTGTAACTTTCAAGGGAAAGCTCTGTAGAGATGGAAAACTTCCTCAACATTATACTGTTGTTTATCGTTCATTCAATGAATCTGAACTGATCAGGTCCTTTTCAATTTCTCTATGAATCAAATGGTCACAAGATTCTGATGTATTTTAGGAAGACTATCTCAGAGGAGCTCACCAGGAGAAGCCTCTCTACTCCAGATGAGATGATCTACATTAACTGTCTTCTCACTTGACTACATGGCAGTCTTGGAAAACCAGTAATCGAAAGATAAACGCTGAAGATGAGTCAGGAACTCATAACATTGACTCACCACTGTTGTGAATGAGCTGTACAATTAAGAATAGCCTAAAAATGATTTCAGGTCATATTTTCCTAGGATATACGGATGGTTTGAGGATGCTTGTATGCAAATGCAATGCCATGAAGTACCTAGGCAGGAGGATCTCCCTGGTTAATCAGTCTTATATGTGAACTACAAAACTTCGGAGTTTGTTCACTTTTCATGTACATACAGACAGAAGATTCCCCTTCTGCTTCAATTATTTTTTGCTCAACTACAGCTTTCTTGCTCTTTTTTAAAATTAAAAATAGTATCTCTGACCCACTTTTTAGAAAGACTTAACCAGGACTTGCATCCCACCATCTGCTCACACAGTTGCTTGCATAACCAGTACATGCAAACAGCATCCCTCCTTCCTCCCTTCCCCTCTCCTCCTTCATGCACTACATCATTGTGGTAGTTAAAGCTGCTCCATTGTTCTTGCCAAAATTGGTGCCCTGCTGCCTCCCTCAGCTTGGGAAAGGAACTAAAACATGGTAAACAAGTAATTCGATAATTAACACAACTGATTAACAGGGGGGGAAAAAAAAAAACCAAAACATTTCACACAGTAAATTCTTTAGTCATGTTTATTTTGGAGGAAAAAAACCCAACACACTCTTAGTATCCCTACTGCTGGAGAGGAAAAAAACTAAACAGTCCAGTAAAATCTGGAGGATTACAGTTAAATTTAAAACATGGATACATTTTTAAAATGTATTTATCCAGATCTTGTGATAATGCATCACTAGAATAATGTCACGAGCATCGAAGATGTGTGTTATGGGAGACAAACTGCTTTCTGAGAAAGCATAGAAGAGAAACTTTGTACTTAATTATCTGGCTAATTAAGTCAGGCTAATTACCTGGCTTAACTTTAACAGCTTGTATACAAAATTTAAGTCTAAAATTTTACATCCCCTTCCAAAAGAAACAATTATAACCTCTACTAAGGTTACTGAACTCACCAGCGTGAGTTTTGATGACAGATCTATCTTGCTTAATGCCAGCTTCTTTATCTTCCAGATCAATCCGTTTTCCCATGACATCTCTTCCTATAGCTGCAGAATCTGCTACTTCAGACTGCTCATCTGCAATGAAAAAAAAGGCAGCTTTGAACATACGTTGTAAAGAAAGCAGGACTGCAGAAAAACAAAGTGGGAGGCAAATAATCCTCCACTTGAATGTGCCAGTTTTCCTCAATGAGGGAAAAGAAACCCCAAGCTACAGGACTACAGAGATGATATCAGTGATTCCAGGGCAAAACGCTGAGCAAGCTTCTGTCCCATAAAGTATCTCATATTGCTCATTTCTATTCACCCCACTGAACGACAATATAGGATACACTGATGAACAACAGAGACTACTCTTAGCCCTTGCTGACACATCCAATTTTAGCTGTAATGCTAACTTAACCTCAGTCCACCTCCTCCCTCACTCAGGCTCACCACTTATTTTCAGCCCTGCACAGTGAACTGTCTCAAGGTATTGATCCAAGTGAAAAATTATGTGGGACAGGAGAAATAAAAATAAATAAATTAATCTTTATCAGCTCCCTCTTCTCCAGCTTGTTCCAGTACAACTCCAGTTCTGCAGAAACTGAGGGAACAGCAAAGATCTAAAAGGAAATAGTTGGGAAAAGACAAAGACTTAAGAGATGTGAAAAGTCACTGCCACTGACAGCAAGATGCATACAACGTGATCCCAGGTAAAAATACAGAGCACACTCAGGAAGCACCTGACTTCTCTACTCTGTTTTCAGGGTACTAATAGCAAATTCAGGGGCTTATACAAGGAAATAATGTGTCCCTGTGGGGACACCAGCACAACAGATTTTCTACAACTTTTATTATTTAAATATCCTGTTCTCAGCAAGATACATACCACAGAAAGCAATCAATTTCCAAAAATATTTTTCTATTAATTATTCCCTAGTTTCTTATTTAACTGGTAGTATTCAGAAGACTCCATAATTTTATGAAACATGAACCTTGTAAAGACAAAAAGTGGTAAAATTAAAAAAACTTCTGCGTAACACAGCAAGGATCTCTCCTAGCAGGTACTCCTTGATGCCAGAAATAAGGATTTCAATGGTTTGACATGGAATAATTTTTAAAAACTTATTATATCTCCAGAAAAGAAAAGGTTTATTAAAAGGTTTATTATTTTTAAAAAACAAAAATTTTAAGCAAAACTGTTAAATCTATTGACACTGTTCAGTTATACCAACATAGCCTGAATTGACACCAAGGCAATGATCATATCCTTATTCAGATTTCTGAAGCACTGATATCTAATGCTATATTCTGTGCTATGATAAACAGGGTTTGCATTCATGTATACATATCTGACAGCAAATTTTGTCATGCGTTGTTGAGATTTCATGCCTGAACAGTATTTCAAAAGGATCTCTAATGATAATGGTGCTGGTTATTACTGCACAGTGGAAAAAAAAAACAACCCACAGTAAAATGTTGGATGGATGAACTGGAAGAATTTCTTCACTGTAAGAGTCGTTAGGCACTGGAACGGCCTCCCCAGGGAGGTGGTGGACTCACCATCCCTGGAGGTGTTCAAAAAAACGTTTAGATGTGGCACTTCAAGACATGGTTTAGTGGGAATGGTGGCATCGGGTGTGCGCTTGGACTTGATGATCTCTGAGGTCTCTTCCAACCTTAATGATTCTATGATTCTATGAGGGGCAGGAGGACTTATAACATCTCTATTGGACTTGTCTATAACAGGAAAAGAAACAGCTTGCTGATTTTAAAGTATAGACAAAGTTAATTACACATTGGTATATGCCAGCTGATCAAATTGAACTGAGTAGAATAAAATTGCAAGAGTAAAAGGTAATAGACATTAGAACATCTTATGTCCACACCACTTTTAAAAAAAATATTAAAAGTGCTGTAGCTAATCTTTAAAGCTATAACGTTTATACATGCTGACAAGCTCCCAAAGAGAGATTTAAAAAAAGTATTTATCTACAAGTACTCACAATACTTATCAGACCAAACTTGGAGAAATGGAGAATGTAGAAGAATGACAAAGAACCTCATAGAGACAGAACAAAACATTAAGGCAGTTAGCTTATGTCCTGCTGCCTGCTTCGTTATCACTCATCTACTACCTAGCCCTCTTAAGTATTTCAGGTCCTGGAACTTTCCCTGTGCCTTGGAAAAATTATTTTACTGCCCAGCTACTTTTCATACATGGCAACTCAGTCAAGATATCCTGCAGATTTTTTTTTAACATGTCAACAGAAATTCAGCATCACAAGATTATTAAGGAAGGGTTTCCATAGCCAAATCGTACCCTTCTGCATGTAGCTGTCAGCAAATCCTGAGAGCACAAAACACAGATCTAGTCAGCATGCTGAGGTTCTGTTGCTTTGCACAGCAAGAACACTGTACACAATTTTTACGTTTTTATTTTTTGATTCAAGCCTCCACTGCACTGATTTAAAGCTCTGCATACCGCATACCTGCATGATTTCGGCCTGCCAACCACGACATGCTTTCCAACGTATTTGACACAGCAGACCCCTCTAAATCCTCTGTGGAACAACACGATTCAGATGGTTTGCCTTCTCACTGCCAGCAGGCTTACTCCTCCTCACTGAAGGGCTCAAAGGTATCTCCTGAATGGTCCAAACCAGAGCTACAGCAACTCTGGCTCAATTCCATCTGCTACTTTTCATAGTTACCAGAGCTATCTGCCAAGGCAGTCGTCATGGTGCAGCACTGCAAGTAAAACCAAAAGCATATAACAAGTTCAATTTTACAGGAAGAATGACTGGATTACTTACAGCAATGGGAGACACATGGAGGACTATTACAGCTAAGCTCACACCCAATTTACCTACCACAACAGGTGGATGAAATAACTACTTCATCAGCACACTGGATCAAAGCAAAACCCTTCAAAGCACTACTGCTGATCAAAGTAGTGCACATTAAGATCTGCTGGGTAAGCGTGCAATAACAATTATCAGTGAATATTAGCAGTGAATTCTGAGCAGCATTCCTTTCAAAATTTAGTGAATTACAGTAACACTTGGACAAAATGATACATGAAAACAAAAAAGAAATTAAAAATGGTATTTTTTTGCCTTTAGATTATTAAGCCTCTCACCACTCAGAAATGCAAAACCTCCTTGTTCCGCTTTGATTTTGTCTAGAAAATTAAAAAGAAAACATAACAAGCATCAGCCAGCTAATGCTCTCAAATGAGAAGTCATGCTTGCAATGTGAAAAAGAGAAAGTTCTTGAGATCTAAGCTCCAGGAACAAACCAGACCTCAGATAGTCACCTATCATGTAACAGATCTATTTTAAAGCTTTGTTCTTATTTCTTTTACCCTGTTTTTATTAGGGTGATGCAATACCCCTTCTTCCTTTGAATTTAAGGACCTAAATAACTTCGTCCTGAATAATTTTGCTATGATTTCTTCCATATCCTCCTAAAGTAAGGACAGTAAATGTATGGACAACATGCCTCTGGAAAGACGCTTGCAGCAGTCAGCTATGGCTCCTTCACCAGAAGGACAGGAACCCCAACGTTCAGGGGTAGACAGCAGGTAGACAAAGGCACTTTCTGTCATGCCTGAAATTCAGGTATGCGACTGTACCTGGTGTTTGTTACTGGGGTTTGTGTAACTTCCTTTTAAAGGTGCTGACTTTGGCCATTTCCCTACTGAATATGCTATGCTGCCTGTTTTACATGTCACAGTACAGCCAAAGTCTTTCTGTGCACTGGGTAAAGACGTTGTGCTCCTAAAACAAATTCAGGACTTCTTTCCCAAGGCTAGACTTCCAAAACTAATCTGTAGTGCCAAATTTCTAGGTCCAAAGGTTTTCTTTTTAACACGGTCCTCAAAATTAAAGAATTGTTCTGATCTAAATTTTAAGTATTAATAAACACTAAGTAATCCTTTTGTTCACTACACCACCACTAATAGAGGCTGGTGATTGGTTATTAAGATCAGGTCTACTGGAGAAAACAATAGGAAATGCAAACAGAGAGTCAATTAGTTCTCCAACCCACAGCTGACCTAAGAAGTTGCAGCTGCACAAGCAGCACATGGATGATTAAGGAGCGAGAAGATAAATTTCAGCAAGTAACATGACTGGCTGAACTAGAAATACTTCAGAATATCAGATATGACTGATATTAGCTAATTTTCACAGTGAAAAATAGGTATGTAACAACATCAGGAGATAAATAACTTAGAAGCCATAAGTATACTTATAAATAGCAAATAAAACAAGTTTACAGACGACTTTAAAGTTGCATCTGCTATCGTACAGCTTTTATTCCTCAGAAGGCTGAGGCAATATCTACCTTCACAGACTGACAGAAAGCAAGCTGAGTGCTTCCGTAAGGGCTCTGAAAAAGAGAAGCCACAGAACTGTTTGAATTGCTTTTCTAAGAATGACTTTGTCTGACAGACATGGCGACAAAACCTTCACTGGCCTCTGAGCAGAGGCTGCTGTGGTATGTCACTGAAAACGGGAAGCATCTTAGAAGAACACCTGAGGGAACGAAGCTCTGTCCTCTCAGAAGGCACAAATGTGATCGCAACACACCACACTCATGAAAAACCTGCATTTCCACCAGCTAACAGCCAATTAAGAAACCCTTCTCCATGCATGTTCTATTTAAAATTCAAAAGCAACAGAAGTGGGGTGTTGGTTTGTTTATGGTTTTCTGTTTTTGGGGTTTTTTTTAAATTTCACAATCCTGCATTTCCAGGCTGAAAATATGAATTTTTCAAAACTATTTAACATATACTTTAATTGACAAATTCCCTTTTATAAAACCCTAACATGAACCAGATGCTTAGGCTATCTTTTACTACACCGCTAGCACCGGTGTCAGGCCTTTCTGCAACCTCGAAAGCTTGATCCCAGGGACGAGCCCCCCCACCGCCCCAGCACATGAATTTGCTCGGCCGTGACCGAGAGTTTTGCTCGCAAGCCAGGCGACTTGTCACACAGAAGGGACGCAGATCCGTGCCCGGCCTCCCCGGGCTCCCTGCTCCCCACACCGCCCCGCT